CAAGCGCGGCGCGCAGCTCGGCCCGCGCAGCGCCTCCTACTACGCCTGGTCGCCGCCCGCGCCCGACGACGAGGACGTGGCCGACGACGCGCTGCCGCCCTACAGCGAGCGCGAGCTGAGCCGCGGCCCGTCCTACCGCGCGCGCGAGCCGCCGTACCCCAGCAATTCGGAGAGGCGCCGCAAGAAGGAGCCCGCCAAGAAGACGGTGGGGCGCCCGGGGCGCTGAAGGGGGCCCCCGGGCGGGCTGGCGGGTGGGCAAGGTCCTTATCCAGGCAGGCCCAGGCGCTGGAGCCCTGGAGCCCTGGAGCCCCGCCTTGGGGATGTGGGCCGCTCAGAGGTTACTGGGATTTCTTTCAGCTACTCTTTCTGTCCAGGACCAGAGTGGGGTTAGTAAACTAAAGGCCCTGCAGAGTTTTTTTTTAAAAAGACAAAGAGTAAGTGTGTAGATGACTTTACAGATGCTCATAGACAATGGTCAGCTTCAAGGAGGATTTGGCCACAGAGTGGCCCAGGTCGAATGTCATCCCAGCACATTGGGAGATCAAGGGCAGCTTGGACAGTCCTGTCTCAAAATAAAATATACTTATTTTTAAAAAGAGCTGGGGCTTCAATTCAGTACCCAATCAAGGGTAGGCTTGCACTAGGGGTGGGGGTAGGGGGGTCAGCAGCATTTGGCATCAGGGATTCTAGGCACTGTGGCCATTTCAGGTCTTTCTTTACATGAGTGACTGGTCTGTGTGCAAAACATGTTCAGCTTTTAGGTCCATTCCACCTTTTCCACCTACTGCCCCACTGGGTGAAGGTTGGTGACTTGCATTAAGTTCCCACAGAGTCCACATCCCAGAGGAGGTCAGGAGCCACCGCAATTTAATTCTTCCTTTCCTCTTTTGACGTTTTATTGATCCTTAGCTGTGGACTGTGCCTGCCTAGGTCCTTGTTTCTTTTGAAAGCCACCCTTGCTTTCACTCTAAATGCACAAGCTGTCCTACAGCTGTGATATGGTTGTTCGCGGGATGGTGGGAGGTATCTGTAGCCAAACATCTAAATTCTACTGGGGGTATCTTGGCTTCAGCCCCAGCAAATCTAATGGAATGTGGACTCTGCCCAGTGGACTATCTGTTGTGTTGGTGATTTCTCTAAACACCTTATGATTAATATTAGGCTTTTTCTGTTTTTCTTCAGAACGACTTCCCAACTAGGATGTCCCTTGTGGTCTGATGTTTTTGAGATATCTCTCTGGATGATAAGAAATGAGATGCAGACTTCAGGGACAAGACACAAACCCAAAAGCCAGCAGGCCAGGGCTTTCTTTGATGACCACCTTGGAAGTTTTGCTGATCTCTTCTTTGGCAAAGGATAGGAGGCAGCTATGAAGGGAAGCTCATTACAAATCTCAGTGCCCATCTAACTAGTTTGAGAAACTTAAGGTGAAAACAATGCCATGTGAGAACACCCCACCCACTGTTTATGCTGTCTACCATCCTTCCTTAGCAGAACTGGGATTTTTGTTAGTCTCTGGACCACTAATCTCTGGAAATCATGTATGCCTACAGTATATCTCTGTGCTGTGCTGAGAGACACAGGATTCATTGCTGCAATTAGATGAGGGCCTGCTGCTTACAGGGGAAGAACGCTTGGAGGCCGAGCACACCTTCCATCCCATCACCTCCTGGTCACTGGTCAATGACTGTTGTTACACTCAAATCTGAAAGCCTTTGGTGCATCCAGTGATCACAGCCTCCTGGACAATCACAGAAATGGCTTCAGTCTGCTGTTCTGAGTTGCAACTCAAGTGGCTGGAACAAAGCAAGAATATACCATTTTGAGAAGCAGTCTAAGCAGTATTTGCTTTTCTATTCTGAGGACATAAACTGCTTTTCTTTTCCTACAATACACGTCTGCATCTGAGTCTTGAACCTTAAGGGCTCTTCTTTTCCTCGCCTCTCCAGGACTTCCTCCTGGTTGGTGCCACACACAGAGTCCCAACTCCATCTGCACTCTGATTACTTTGTCATCAGGTGCCTTTTTATAAATGCTTAAAATACAACACATGGAAGAGGAACAATTAAAAAAAGAAGAGAAAGCAGTAATGCAAGATAAAAAGAATGACAAGAAATTAAAAGGAAAATACTATATAGTATTACATATTTGAAATGTGGGTCATTTTCCCCAAAATTCCCAGTCTTTTCTGGTTTTGTACTTCACTGCCCATAATTGTCTCTGCTATCCTGGTTCTGCCATTGCAGGACACAAGAGACGTGACGGCTGTACCTCTTGGGCTCACTGAGAAGTTCGTGGGAGATGAAAAAGATCCTGCTTTCTTGGAAGGAGCACTTCCTATTCCTACCCTTGCCTAAATGGTAGCTTCTGTCTAAGTTCCAAAGCTAGAGCTCTGGATTTTGTAATTTGTGTGTATTACAGAAATGGCCACAAACTTGCCCTCCTTGTTAAGTGGTGTTTTCCCCCCACCTTTTGAGCCAGAAGATGGCCTTGTGATTTGATTTGGCCAAATGGCCTAGCAGCAAACATGATGTAAACAGAGACTTGAAAAGTTCTTATACATGGGATTTGTCTTCTCTTGCTGCTCTTGGGAACTTTGCAGTCACCACGTGGTGAATGAGCTGGAACTGTCCTGCTGCATGATGAGAGAAAACTGCCTAGTTACCCTGCCCCTCTATGTGATATTTTGTCCACTCTCAGCTGACTGTAGACATGGGACAGTTCAGCCAAGATCAATAGAAAAGCTGCCTAGCTGAGCCCAGCCCAAACTGCTGATTCCTACTCAAGGCATGAGATATCAGCACACCCTATGTGTTCTTTTCTGATCAGGATGTTCAGGCCTGAATCTCTTAGTCCATCAAGTCTCAGTGTCTTACAGCCTCCAGTTTCTTAACATTTTATTTCATCTTTTTACCCTATACTGTTACGAATGGACACATTGTCTATCGGGTCAAATCACTGGAGGGGGAGGATGAACTGTTATCTCCTAACCCAGCAATGGTCCATCCCTGTTCTTGGATCCATGTACAACCTCTGAATGTTGATCAGCATCTCCCAGGCCTTCTCCAGCGCCATCAGTCTAGACCTGCAGACTACCATTCCATTAGTATCCGTTGTACTTTGTGGTGTTTCCAAAAAGCCCTAGGTGTTCAGTGTTACAAATTAGTGGCTGGGTGAGGGTCAGAGAGAAGAGTTGGTATAATTGCTTGGAGAATTGGCCTACTAAAGGCCTTTTTAATTTTTTTGGCCTGTCTTATGGAAACTAAAAGTACAGTTCAGCCCAGTGCTGGCACTTTGAAGGGCTTGAAGACACAAGCCATAACCCTGGTGCTGAGTTTTAAGTGTGCTGGTGTCCCTGTTCTTAGAGAGTTGGTCTGTTTGGGCCCCAATTCACATGGAAAATATAATAAACACATCATTTCTTAAGTCACCAGCTTTGGATTTCAAATTGCTCAGGCAATTTTGGAGAATATTGGATAGCTGCAGTCACTATTACTGCTTTATACTTCAGCACTGTGTCAGGCTTCTCACCACCAAAGAGCCCCATAGCACCAGCTGCAGAGAGCGAACATACTGCTTTTTAAAGTCAGGGTCATGCATCATTATGGTGAAGATTGAGGGGAGCAATGGGAAGAATTATTGAAATTGGAGACTTGTAATTCCCAAGATAATGAACATATAGACAATAAAAAAGGACGAAGATAGTAAGCTATTAAAACAACCTGGGGTTGGACCAGCTTGTTTTCTGTAAGGCTATGTAAATTTCTTAGACTTGCAGGCCTTCAGTAGACAGAAAAAGTAGTTTTTTTCTGAGTATGTGAACAGGACATGAAACTGCACAGACAAGGCAAAGCTGACTGTCCTCAACACTGTTGACTTTTCACATCTCTCTGCATCTTTTTCCTTGAATAATGTGTCCTGCTTAGGAAGTGCCTATACCTCTTAACTTCCTTTGTAGGCTTTCTTGAACTATAAAATAAGTCTTGTCTAAGTCATGGTCTCTGTCCATTGGGACCCTGTGACTTAATAGGGGAAATAAGACATGCCCAAGAACAAACTAAGAGATTCGTACGCATATAGGAAGTCATGCTATGGATCAATTAGAATAAACCCAGAGATTTAAAGGTTTTTAAATTAAATGGGAATTTTTGATACTTAAGTGTTACGTGTTTGTCCATCCATCCCATTTGAAGATATGATCAGTAATCTGAAAAGCCAACCTAGAAGAGTCTGAGCTGGAAAGAAGTGAATCAGGATGCGGAAGGGTGAGTGGCAGGGAGCCTGGAGGGCTGGTGCAGAGCTGCTGTTTGCCTGTGAGTCACAGAGATGAGTCAGGGATGGGCTGGAGGAGGGAATGTGGAAGCAGGTGGCAGGAGGTGTCCCTTGGTGGATAAACTGCTTTTCTAGGCCGTGCAGGCAGTCATTAGGAAGCGGAGGACAGTCGCCATGGGCCTGGCAGTAGTGTCAGTTCTCCCACCTGAGCAGGCCGACAGAGCTGAGCATCTGCCTATCTAGGGTCTCCGTTCTGTGGTTGGGGGTGCTGCCGCCCCCCACCACCACTAATGCAGGCAGCTTTCACAGAGGTGTCAGGGCTCTTGTTTCTCTTCTCATGGTCCTCCCTCTGCACCTGGCATGGGATGGGCCCCCTAGGATGGGAGGGTCTGCTACCCAAATCCAAAGCACAGAGCCACATCTGTCTACATTTCTAGTAGTCTGAAAACTTCATACACATCACTTGCTTTTTCCTTAGGCTGCCTTTGAGAGAGGCCGAAGTTACATTGTAACTCACCCTTATGCTTTTTAAAATGGAGAAACCATCATTCCCATTAGTCAAATCATAAACCTATTAGATGTGTAGACTCCAAGACTATAGGTCCTACATCCTGGGTCAGTGTTGCCCCAAACTGCCCTACCTGTAAGAATTATTTGACTGCTGTTATTTAAATGGTACTATTGATAGTTTGGGGGGCTAAGGTAGGAGAATAAAAATTTGAGGCCAGCCTGGGTGACTTAATGAGACCCTGACCACAAAAACAAAAAGAGCTGCAGATGTTGCTCAGTGGTGGCATATTTGCCTAGTATGTGTGAAGACCTGGGCTTAATCCCCAGTACAGTGTCACTAAGAGAAAAGAGTGTCATTGAGCTCTGCTTTGGGCAGGTCTGGAGTTAAGATCTGTATTTTTCACCTGAGTTTTGGGAGAGTCCTGTGATCAGATGCATTTAGAAGGCGTTACACAGCTGTCCCCAAGGTATTTTTGGACTATGGAACCTTCAGAGGTCCTGATGAGCCCCCTCCCAGGGCCTTGAGACTGTCCGCAGAGTGGTCCTCAGTAGTTTGGCTGTGAGCTGGGGATTGGCTGCCCAGAGCCAGCAGAGGGAGAACTGTGAAGGAGAGAGGCAGGAGTGGGAGCCCATCACAGGAACCTGCACTAGATATTTCCATTCCCTGAACAATAATCTGCTGTGACAATCTCCGATCAAACAACAGAAATTACAGGTAATTTTCTCGTTCCCTTGATGCCATTCTGAGCAAAACTTAGATCATGAATAGAAAGAAAAGAGGCCATTGGGGAAATGGCAAATGTAAATCACTTTTTAAAGCATATATAAATTATCAGCCTTGGGAGTCAACACCACTTCCACTTTAAGACCCACAGTGGAGTGGGTAAGAATAATAAAATGTATATTATAACATTCCAAAATCAGATTTAAATGCTACCAGAGTTTTTACAAATATTTGAGTTATAGGATGTAGAAATCCAAATTCACTAAAAGAGTGGCCCTGATACTTAAGGTCCTAGAAGAAAAAAGTGCCTCGTTTTTTCCTGCTGAGAGCCTTTCTACCTCCTCATCATATGAGAAAATGATCAGTGAAGCTGGAAAGAGGGGCCTTGTACACGGAGTGGAGAAGGGATCCTGCTGAGCTGCCCGAGCTCTAGCTCCGCCTGATGCTGATGAAGTCAGGGCTGATGTGTGCAGGATTTTTATGACTTATTACTGTTTACAGACCACTTTCCCATACTTTATCTCACTGGATGCTCACTTCAAGCCCTGAGATAGACTCATACAGAATGTAAAATGGAGGTTGGAAAAGCTCAGTGATTTTCCAAAGGTCAAGTGGCTTTTAAAATTACAGAGCCAGGCCTTCTTGACTGTTTTCTGTTCTTTGCCATTTCTATAAAACCAGAGGGATGGGAGTCTGGCTTATTCTCTTACAACCCAGTGTGTGGCAAGAAGCGTCTAGAATTCAGCTCTGGCTCACACATCATCACTTGAGTAAGCAACAAAAACACCCACTATAGCTGCTTTGTCCAGTTAAGCGCCTTTCCTCAAAGGATGCCCTCAGAGGGAGGGCCTTCTCTCGAGGAACTTCCCTGTGCAGTAGCCAGGCTGTGAGGGGCTCTGGGAAGTATGTGCGTCAGGACTTGGTTTCCTTGTCAAAGAGGAATTTATGAGAACAAACTACAGATTCATCAGGACCCAGAATTCTGGGGTTGGAGGCAGGAGCTGCTTGGGCATAAAATACCTTGTCATCTTCACTACATTTCCAGACTTTAGGCAGAACTCAAAAGAGCCAGATCTGGAGGGAGGCAAGAAGGGCGAGAACGAGAACATTCAGAGTTTATCTAAACTTTTGTTATTTCTTGGTGGCTAGCCGGATACAAGGTGAATGTGGTCTGACCCATTTTCTTCTGGGAAAGCTGACAAAGAGATTTTCTCTTGGCTATTAAGAAAAGCCAAGGTATGCTACCCCAAGAGAGATTTCCTTGTGCAGATAAAGAACAAGATAATAGAAGAAACAATGGGACTAAGAAGGGTAGAAGTTGGCTTCATGAGTCACCTGCCCAGTTTGTTTTGTGCCTTGTTTGTGACATCAAAACTGTATATCACTGTTGCCCATGTTTTTTTTATATGTCAGACATACAAAGTGCATTTGGTTGTGATGTTTTAAACTAAATAAAGCATTTTCATCTACCTTTGTTAGCAAGTGTTCATCATTAACATAATTGTGGTTCCTCACGACTTGGCATGAAATGGCCTCAGCAAAAACAGAAGCATATAATATATAGCTTCCTCAGAATGTTTTCCAAGCTGTTCTAGAGGGATGAGTATTATGGGGTTGTAGAGACTGACAAAGGTACTGACAAAGCACGATGCTGCGCTTTTGCAGATTGCAGCAAGCTGCAGGCTGGATGAGTCTCTGGCATGCATTACTCCTGGAGGAGATGGGGCCGGAACATTGCCTGGGCAGTGGGCGGGTACCTGGCCCATTTCCAAGATGGGAACTAGCCTTCGCCTGCCTGGTAAAAATTACTCTTGGGGTAGGGAGGAAGCTTATCATGGGAGGACAGTTTAAGTTCTAAGTGGATTTGAGAAATTCCACAACACCGTAATTAAGATAAAGCTATTAAAACTCTTTGTTATCTTAAGAAATGATAAAACACTAAACAAAACAAAACTCCTCAGGAAGCTATTAAGCCTGTCTTGATGGCTGGGCCCTGTCAGGGGCATTTCAGATTTTGGGTCCCTGCTTGAATGGAAAACTTGTTTTTGCTTGATGTGTCTGGGCTTAATTTTCTTCTTTTAGTAATTTACTTGAAAATATTAACATGTAGATTTAACTTAAAATTAGATTCCAGCTGAGTGTGGTGGTCCACGTCTGTCCTGTGAGCACTCTGGGAAGTTAAGGCAGGAGGAGGAGGAGACTCTGGGCCCAGCCTCAATAACTTAACACTTAGTGCAATGTTCTGTCTCAAAATAAAACAATTTTTAAAAGATCAGAGATGCGGCTCAGTGTGGAGCCCTGGGTTCAACCACCAGTACTGAAAAAAAACCCATAAAACATTCTAAATATAAAGTTTAACTCTGAATACCTCTTCTGAACCTTCTGCCATTTTGTCTAATATTTTAATTCCATCTTGTTTTTAAAGATAATATTTTTAATTCAGAACAATATAATAGGGTAACAATGGTTAATACAATGCATATTGTTATGTTTAAATTAGTTACTTAGAGTATAAGATACCAGCATTTAATTGTTTAAAGAATATTGACACAAACCTTTCTTTTTAATGAACTAAGAGAAGTTAGTTGTATAATTATCTTTAACTATCATTTATGTATATTTTTTCTTTTCCCTTCCTTTTTTCTCCATTTCCCCACCCCAGTTTCTCTTTCCTTTTGAAGTTTTCTTTCCATTTTACAATATCTATTTTTCTTTTTTAATTTAATTTTTTTACAATATCTATTTTGGATCTTATTTACTCTTTCAGCTTCTCACACTAGGAGACATAATGTTCATACATGTGTGTCTGA